CACGTTTGAAGGGGAGGATTACACTCATGAATATCTGCAAAACATAAGGGGCAAATCCAGTGTAGTAGGTAATTCTGATCCTTTGTTATCACAAAGTAAATGTTGGCTTACAGTTGGGACGAGGTTAGGCCCTCCATTATTTACAGTGCTGAAGTTGACTGTCCAAAATCTGGTAGGTTGGCCGTTGCTTTAGCTTCTCGAGATCTTGGGACGTCCCGAAGACATTCGTTGAATAAGTTAATTAATAATGCAGCCTATGTAACGGAAAAGTTTATATGACACTGAATAAAATTTGGTTATCTGGCGGAGTAACTTCAATCACAGATGGAGCCCAGTCGAAATATCAACGAGCCCGACGTCACGACAAAACGGTGACTATAGAATAAACCAAAGATCAAAGGGTAGCTGGGTCCTTAAACTTTGGAACTACCTGGTGACAGTGCTCCTAACGACTAATCCTGCATCAAACGCGAAAGGGTGCCCATTTGTAACCGGCTAGGCTAGATTCCGTTCAGAAAACTACGGGCTTCCTCAACAGTGTTAGTTCGAACCGTGGACATCACGAGGCATTGAAATTCAGAGTTTAATGAGAGAGGCAATAGCCGGTCTGAAAACTTTGGCGGATCGAAGCCACACTAAGCCATGGAACCACGCCAAACACTAACGGTGGTGATCACTCGCAGCTGAGGAAGTCACCCAGCTTCTCACAACCTTACAATAACCACAGGCAGGTTGACTCCGTCGGCATTGAGCTAATGGAGCAGATATAAGTGAACACAGAGATTTGATATGGCGTCCGACAATCCTCTGAACATTTGTGAAGTTTATTTGACGCACACAATTTGTGGACCTATGTGGACTTCCGGCATTATGCCGTTCGGCCATGTGGCTAAAGGAATGTCCATCGGAAATGAAAACCTAAACCCTACTACCTACAAACCTTCCTCGACGATTTATCATTTGGCTTGGAGTCTATGCAAATATTCCGAACTCCATTGCGTATACGGTATGTTGTACATGCATTTGACCTTCAGCCTATCACTTGTGAAGCCTCACTTAGTTTACTTTCATCGTCCCGTATTTGAAAGTCTGTACGATATACACACTAGCTTGTAGCAGGTGGTCGTACGCTGGCATTGAAAACGATCTGTTAGAGTGCTCCCGGTCTTCACGAAATGCGTTGTTCGGGCTCCGCTGTCAATCACTTGTAAACTCATGACAGCATTCATCAGTGTCCCAGTGGGACGTATCACCCACCTCAAGGCCCTATCCGCTTGACTTGCTCCGGAGAGCTGGTAGTGCCAATCAATGTAGTGCTCTAGCAAATCGTGAGCAATTTGATGCTGACTGGATAGGCTAGCTTCCACTGGAGCCCGATTTCAGCTGCAACTTATCATACGGATTTTCCTTAGGAATATCTGCCAACAGATCTTCAACTTCTGTTGCTACATCACACGGAAGATGCTGGACAACATAGAAAAACCGGGTGACTTGGGAAGTGATGCGTCGGGTAGCAAAAACGGCTTGCACCTGGTGAAACCATACCCTGGGGTTGCGTTGATTGAAGTCTGGTAGACGTATGCTAATCCCATTCTCGACTAAATCCGCTGAATCAAAAAAGTGTGCTCCCATAAATACCGGGCAAAAATATTACGACGGCTTGAAGGGAAAAGCTTTCAAAAAAATATCTAGAAATACTCGGGCCCACCAATCTTATGGCCCAAAAGCACGCAAGTGTCAACCACCTTGTTCCTTCAAGCCGCGTTCCAACACCCCTTTAAACACCCCGGCCAGTCAGTAACGGCGACGACTGTCTGTGGCCCTCCTCGCACAAGTCGCCTGTTCCACATCACGTTTCCTCGTAGATACGGGAGCTGAAGTTAGTGTGCTACCACATAAGAATCCACTTCCCGATTCTGCTTCTTTCTCGTTACAAGCCGCTAACGGTGCCCGCATCGCTACATACGGCGAACGTTCCCTCAC